GATTATATTATCGACAAAATCTATTCAACTGTTCCCTTCCCTAGCTTGTAAACAATCGTACAAAGCAACAAAGAAAAGCGCTCAAGTCGCACCGAGACGTTTCTGCGGTAATCTTTTAGAAAAATATCTCCCGTTCTTCTCTAGTGCAAAGAATTCAAAATGGAATGCGAGACATTTTCTGCATTGTAAGATAATGTTACCTCTATGTAATGTTTACGATTTAAGTTTAATATTATTGTAGTTTGTATCAATATCGCTTTTAAATTTAAATTTACAATTTCTAAAACGAAAATTGTTTCAGGAATTGTAAACAATTTTACACTAAAGAAACGTAAAATATCACCTACACAAAATAACGTAAAAATCAACAATATCGCCATCTGTAAAACTTGTCGAGAGTAATGTAAAGGATCTAAGCCATTATTAGAATGACTCCCAAAAACATTTCTTTGTTGATTTATCGTGGCTACAGTGCGTCAATTCTCCGTTATGGATTGATCATCATGAGTAATGGATCCTATATGTCAAACCAGCATTTTGTAACCCATAATATTATATGCGCAATGTGGAACATACCTCATATCATATCGATGGGATCCGCTAAAACCCGGAAGGTACTCGACAATTGTTGCTCGCATTGTGTTATATGTGTGTGCATTGGACGACCGGATTAATATAGAACACTATTTGGTGAATTTAACATTTTGATTCTATCTTGTATTTAAAGAAGTTTGTAATTTTATTAAGCAGTTTCAACATATATTAAAAAAGCTATAGAAGTAAAAAGTGCTAAGCGTCTGTATCTAACAGTTGCAGTGCCACTCAGAGCTTTTTATCACAAAGATCTGAAGGGCAATGCCACTGCGCCCGTCACCCTGAGACATATATTGAGAAGTCCCATGTGCTTGTAATTTCAACAGCACTCTTACCCTTCCAAACCGGAATTCAGAAATATTGGTACACAATACAATTCTTGGCGGCAGAAATAGATAAAGTGGCAGTACTTCCCTGGACGAACTCTTTAATAAGGACCTCTACTGCTACCATGCTTAAAATTACACAGTACTCAATGTTATATATATAATGCTATATGTTCTAGTCGCTAATTGTGGAAAAAAATACAGTGCGAATGAATATTTAGAACAAAGGCTTTCAAACTTTTTTGGCTCGTCGACCAGGCCTTTTCTAATATCGGTTTTTTTAACTTAACCTTAACCAGGAGGCCCTGCGATTGAATCCCTATCAGGAAAAAAATGTTTGTATAGCATTTATTTGTCTCATGAGTTTGGGTGTAATTTGTGATTTTGTCTGTGTGTGTCAATGGCACCCGCGATACAGGGTTTCCCTATTGCGGGGTTATGAGTGTGTGCTTTATTATTATTTTACAAATATTTAAACAAATTTTTTTTACTGCTATTCACTGTGATAAGTTTAACTATATAGTGAGAACCTTTATAAAACACGTGTTTATATATATTTATTCAACTTAGGCAATGATAATCTTAATATATTCTCCGGAATTTTATTGTAAAAACGTATGCAGATCCCCATAAAAGAGTCATTTTGGTACCATGAGTTCGGGACTAATAGCATTATGTATATTTTTACGGGCGTACAGAATGTTTGAGTAAATGTACTGTAATGCCACAGTCGTGATACCAGTCTCCTTAAACTTTTCTCTGAGAGAAACCCGTGAGACTAGATGATACATGATGGTACATGATGGGATGGGATGGTGGTGGTTGATCTTGTAAAAAAGAGTATCCGCTCGATTTCCACTAAGGCCATTGGCAGTGACAATTTGAGCCTCGAAATGATTCTTCCCGTGCTGGAGGACATTGCGCCGGTTATTACTTACATCATAAATTTTTCTCTCTCGCGCTATGTCTTTCCAACTCAATGGAAAAAGGCTTTTGTCATACCTCTCCCTAAAATCCAGAATCCTACATCTTTTTCACAATACCGTCCTGTTTCCATTCTCCCCATTCTTTCTAAAGCCCTAGAATCCATTGTACATACACAACTTTATTCTCATCTTACCTCCTATAATCTTTTATGTCCGTTTCAGTCTGGCTTTCGTCCATCTCATAGCACTATTGGAGCATTACTGAACATTACGGAGGACATACGTCGTGCTATGGATGAAACGAAACTCACTGCCATTGCCCTCTTGGATTTCAGCAACGCTTTTAACTCTGTTGACTTCGACATTCTTCTTGGTGCCCTTCAGGCTGTTAATATCCCCTCTCCTATTATAAGTTGGTTCTCTTCGTATCTTTTCGGTCGCCAGCAGAGCGTGAAAATCAATAATGGCTCGTCATCTTGGTCTAACTTAACTGCTGGTGTGCCCCAGGGTGGCGTACTCTCTCCTTTACTCTTCTCTATTTTTATTAATAATATTTCCCGTGTCATTTCTTCTCCCTTCCATTTATATGCTGATGATCTTCAGCTTTATCGTAATTTTGAAGTGGGCGAGGTAGCGGAGGCAATTGCGTCTATCAACTGTGATTTGTCTGCCATTCAGTTATGGGCCAAGTCATTTGGCCTTTTGGTTAATCCAGCCAAGTCTCAAGCAATGATTGTGGGCAGTAGCAGATTGAGGTCCAAGTTGGACTGGTCTTTGGTACCTGCGCTGGTATATGACGGAGTTCCAATTGCATATACTAACAAGGCTAAAAATCTCGGGTTAGTAATGGACTGCACCTTGTCTTGGACTTCTCATGTCAATGAGGTCAGCAGACGAATGTACTTCTCATATCATTCTCTCAAACGTCTCCAATACTTTCTTCCTTTTCACACCAAAATTATGCTTGCGCAAACTCTTTTACTCCCTATTCTTGACTATGCCGACGTTTATTACTTGGATGCTACCGAAGACCTTTTAAACAAACTAGAGCGTCTACAGAACCTGGCTATCAGATTTATTTTCGGTCTCCGAAAATTTGATCACGTTTCCGAATTTCGTGCTCGGTTAAAATGGCTCCCAATCCGCCTTCGCCGTGATGTGCATATCCTGTTCACCCTTTTTAATATACTTCATGACCCAAATTCTCCTTCCTACCTACGTTCCCGGTTCCAACTGCTTCCCCCTCCTAGCCGCTCAAGGCGTCCGTGCATCACTAAGATGCTCGTTCATCCTAGTTGTAAAACAAATTTCTTTTACAACTCCTTTTCCTCTCGTGCAGCGCAGCTGTGGAACAGACTCCCTTCCCATATTCAGTCTAGTCCGTCAATTGCTTCCTTCAAGAAAAGGTTGACAGCGCACTTTCTTGCTGAACTCTCTTAATAATCATCATATTTGTATATGTGTAAGTTTATTGATACAATGTATTATACGTTATGTAGTCTATTTATTTATATACTATTTTAATTATTTAACGGTAATTTTATATATGCTTATTTTACACATGTAGATTATCATCTTTTGTTATCTCTTTTGCACGCCGTTCCCCGCTTAAAACCTTTGCTCTCACTGCCTTGGGTTGGCTGGAAGAGATCTCTTTTAGAGATAAGTCCACCTTTGCTCACCTTATGTTATTTTTTTGTTTCTGTTTATTTGTTTGGTGCAATAAAGAATATATAATAATACACAGAACGAATCGCCTCTTTTTTTGCAATACAAATGTGGTTTGTATGTTTGCCGCTTTGGTCCACGTGAGAATCCCGTAGGACTTTATACTATGGAAGTAACTGAAATAGTTTAGCAGTACCAACATCGACAGTTCTCGTATTTTGACTATTCTCTTTTGAATTCCCTATTGTCTTCCTTGTCCACACATTTTTGTATAATTAAATACTATTTATATTTTATACATGTCTCCAGCATAGTTTAGAATGGTGTTTTAGTTTTCTATTTGATTATAATAATGTGATCGTCTAATTCATTGTTCCTTTGCAGGAAGTGCGTAGCTTTGAGTCATTGTTAACGGTACAGTAAAACATTTACAAGCCTGCTTGATGTGACGTAACACCCAGCAGGTTTGTTAATCACCTGTTTGGGCATCCAACTAGTCTCCTCAAAGTTGGTCAAACCAATAGGCTACCACGGCTTTCTTTAATACATATATACGTGTGTTGTTTACAAAGACACAAACACCACCACTAAAAAAGTACCCAACACGTGTTACGCCGCTACGAGGCGTCGTCGTCAGGAATTGTTGATAGTTCGACACTCGGCCGAAGTAAGTTTTTTCAAAAGAAAAATCTGTGGGTTCATGGAGTGGCAAACTAATTCACTTCTGTTTTTATTAAAATGTATTGGCTCAATCTATTAATTATTGAGGTAAACAGGTAGCAGACGACAGTTCTAAAAAAAAAAACTGAAAAACTTTAAAATATTATATTAGAAGGACAGATTCAGCTTCTTTGCGATTTTATTATTTATGAACGTGTACATGTGACGTCCATTAATGATTATTTTTTATATAATATCAAGAGACGGAACGGAAAAGGCTTGGGCATGGTGACATGCCTATCCTTAATAGTTGCAGTGCAACTAGCTTTAAATCGCAAAAGATCTGAGAAATAGAAACAGAAATAGAAATCATTTATGTTCACATTACTGCTTGGCGGCAGAAATAGGAAAGGTGGCAGTAATTCCCTAGATTAATTCTTTCACAGGGAGCTCTAGTGCTACTAACAAACTAGTGGAATAATTTTACAAAAAATAATTGATTATCATGATAGTAAAACATCGTTACAATGACAATAGATAGCCAAAAAAAAAGTATAGTCCATTGCCCTTTGTACAATATGAACCGTCGTTTCAGAAGTGGCTTAAGTTGATTTTAAATCTTAAGTATAGAAGGAGCCGTTGTATCAACGTTATGGCTTATCCCTCCAAATGATTTTTGTGAGAGTTTTAAGAATGATGAAATGAGAAAAGTTTCGCCATGAAAATGACCAGTGGCTGCTGACGTCACCATAAAAACTCATAAGTCAAATAAATAAGAAAGCGATTTACGATTAACCAATTTTCTGCCACACAGAAAGACGCCGAGTGTAGTCGTAAAAACCGCCATAAAACAAATTAAATTCGATCTTTATTACATTTTCATTAATGATTTGTATTTATTGAAAATTATTTTTCGGATTACGCGTTGCATTATGAAGGTTCTTTGTATTGTTGGTAAGATATTGCTTTATTTGTATGTACTACACATAAGTATAGTACACTAATGAAGGCTACATACTTTATTGTACAAATTTTAATGGCGATCTAATGCCTTAAAATGGAGACCATGCAAAGGGGCAAATAGTCAAAAAAAACAATACTCAAAATAACGCTTATTTTAAAATTTGAAAAACCCCGATATAAAACTGTATTCAATAAAACCACCATCTCTAAAGGCCCCATATACAGACGTATTTCTCCTTTCGATCGATCGTGACGATAATCGCATCGATTTGTCGCTACTATTTGTCCCTTGGCGGTCAAGTTAATTTATTCGTTGATGTCGTTATATCTATATATTTTAATCAAAACATTTAAGTAGCAATAGAGCTCCTTGTGAAAGTGTTCTTTAAGGGAAATACTGCCATCTTATATATTTTTGCCGCCAAGCAGTAATGTGAGAATTACTGCGTTCAGGTTTGGAAGGGTAAGAGTGCTGGTGAAATGATAGGCACATGGGACTTGTCCACTTATTATGTCTCCGGGTAATTGGCGCAGTAGTAGTGCCTCTAAGATCTTTCCGATTAAAAACTCTGAGTGGCACTGCAACTGTTATGGATGTATAATAAATATGAAGTCGATCAGAAGTGAAAAATAGGAAAAACAGCAAAATAGATGTCCATTAGTGGAAATATGAATGTTGAGATGGATATGTGGAGTGCGAGAAATTATAAGATAAGAAATGAGTACATCAGGGGAAGTTTGAAAGTGGCAGTAGTGACGGAAACGATGTGGAATAATAGATTAACCTGACGAGAAGAATGTTAAGTATGAATGTGGAAGGATATAAGGGGAAAAGAAGGCCAAAGAAGAGATGGATGGATTGTGTGAAAGATGGATAAGAAAGGTGTGAATAAGGAAATTAGGGCTGATAGGGGAGAGTGGAAGAAAAAATACATATTGTGCCGACCCCATCTAGCGTGAGGTAAGGACAGGAAAAAGAAGAAGAAGATGTTCAACATAAACATAGGTTTGTTTGAGAAAACCGAAATCTAAAAAATAGTTTAATTTATAATACGACTTTGGGATTAAAAGATTGCCCAAGATTTTTGCAGCATTCCCTCTTTGTATAGCTATTAATACATTGCGCAAGTTAGTTGGTATGGGTGGCCCCATCAATAATTTTTAATTTTAAGTGTTACATTATAAACTGTTTTAGGTAAAACAATACTATGAAATTATAGCAAACTTTCAATAATTTTCACGTCTGTAGTAACGCTATTGTAAATGTATATGTAATAGGTATTGCATATACCAAACTGCATTATCAGCTCCAAATTGAGCCAATAATACCAAAATCATCGGTGCACGTGTAGAAATTTAGCACGAGAAATTTCATTTCGTGATCTCGTCTACCTGAAATGAGGAAACGAAATATACGATTCTGTGAAACTTGAATACGAATTTTGATTATAATAAATTCGAACCAAATCTTGTTACAAGGCTTGGGAATTTTATTAAAAAGAATTTGAGTTTTAAATAACTTATCAGATAAATCTTTGAGAAGAAATATTAAATGATGTATATTTTTTAACATCTATATAATAAGAATAATACTGTGTTTTGGCCGAAAGTTATCTGAGGAATACGTGGTGATACCTACTAATAATGAGCCTGACAATCACACGTAAAGGAAAAAACAGAGTCCAGGTCGAAATTTTTCTTTATTGGATTTATTGCTAGTGTACTAATTGCTCAACTGATTACGACTGGACATTGCTTGCAAAAATACGTATCAATAGAGAAAAAAAATTGAAATCATTACCCAAGTTTAAAAAAGAAATTCAAATAAAGAAATTAGTACAAGAGAACAAGGATTTCGAACCGAAGTAAAAAAATAAAAGAATTATTTATGCACCAACTCAAAGTAATTACGGTGTCGTCTGGTCGTAATGCTGCTTTTCTAAACATAGGTTTTTGCTTTGAACCAGGTCTTGCGAAAGTAATTGTAACTAAAAGGTATAAAATAACTTTTTCACTTGACATTGCGGTCATGTTCCCCAGCGAATTAGAGCGGCGACTGTCAAAACTACCATCCCAACTTCCACGTTGTAACAAAACTTTGAACAGTAAACAATTTAAGCCTTGTTAATTGTAGTAGACTCTTTGTAATACTTTACATAAGGATATTATTTAAGAAAATCTTTTATCTCCAACAGTAGTATCAGCAATAGTGCTAACCGAAGCAGGTCGTCTGAGGCAGAATTCGCCAAAATTGATGGTATATGAAATCAGAGAGCGCGAAGATGGTAGCGGCCCTGATGTCCAGATGCTCAAAGTCCCTGGCGACGTTCTCTACAAGACCATAAGCAGTCTCCAAGAACCGGCTGAAGAAGAAGAAGATACTGGGCTTGATGTCCATAAACTGCTATTAACGCTACTGAATAAACCAAAAGTGAACAAAAAGAGGGAAAAACAAAGGAGTACGTTGCAAGCGCTGAAGAACTTAGTTAAGAAACTCGAGAAAGAATACGAGCTCGGCGACGTCATTCAGACGAATGATAAAAATAGTAATGATGATGACGAAAATTCCAATTATTTCCAGTGAGTTGGTTTGTTCGTATATTGACGACTCTGGTACAGTGCCTTACGGTTGGATGTAGGATACAGTGATATTTCCAATACAGAATATAGATCTATATTGGAAATATCTGCCATACTTAATTTTTCAGTTAGTGATGATAATTATTCACTTATAAGATGATAATAATGAGATTTAATTAGAGAAAAATTGGATATATAACAAAATATTGGAATCTTAACAGTCATTAGCTTCATCAATTAGTTTAAAACAATTAGTTAAGATACTTGCATGTGATTTCTAAATCTTATACAGATACTTTTCACAGATTGCCTCAAGGACTACAGAAAGTGCAAGCAAAACCCGAAAAACAGAATAATCCCTTAGTGTCGCTTCCTCTGCAAATTGCACTACGATCGAGAGTTGAAGGTAATGTATTTGTTCTGCGCATAGATTTAGTATATACTAAATCTATGGTTCCACGTTTTGCCTTTACACATTGAGTTTTATCTAAGTATTAAGTACAATGCTACTATGAACTTTCTTTTTCTTTCTTGCAGACTTATTAGCAGATAAACTAACAGTATAAAACGGACATCGAGTATGTCACCCATGAAAGATAGTTTATAAATATTTCAAATCCGCATAGCAGCGCGCATTTTGTATAGGAATCCTATAATATAACGTTAAATTAATTTTTTTTTCGTTTTTGTAACTACTATCATGGTTCATTTGTGACATGTTCTAAAATTTGACGTTCCCACTCAAAATAATTGTTGATTTTTTTATTTTTATATTTTTTTTATTTTTTTTTTAAATCAATTGGGGACTTACTAGTTCATTATACAATGCTAAATTATGGGCATATTAAAACGATACTATCTTGTCCTAGTATCTTAACGCTCTAATAGATTATTAAGGTACATGATGATCCAAATATCGGAGTTGGCAAAACCAGGCCGCTGCCTCCTCCGGTTTTTGCAATTGTTACACATTTGGAATAAAACAATTTGTTTGGTCCAAGTTTTATATAAACTACCGTTTCAGTCAAAAGATTTACGCCATTACCGAAAAAATAGTTTCATTTCGAAAGTAAATTTTCAATGACAATACTATTAACTACAAGTGCATGGGACTTGCCAATACAACTCAGATCTTTTTTTTATTAATAAATAAGTGCACATTTGACTTCTATCTCACGTGATGGAAAGTGATGATGGAGTATGCCCACCTAAATAATGCCTATTCACTCTCACCGTTCGAATCCCACTTCATAGCCGTTCGCCATATAAAAGTGGAAGCAAAGCACTGAGTGTGACTCATTTGAATATCCACAACATAAGGGTAGAACCTCGATGATGGAAAGGGGAAGACGGAATTAATTCGTGCAATCCCTCGCACACTCTCCGTGATAATATCCTATAGAATACCGATAAGCAGGCAACTTTACGGCGGTGTTCTGGGCTCTGCAGCTTCGTCTCAACTCATTCCGAGTCACCTATAAGCCTCTTGACACGCTTATCGATTGAATCCAAGGTGGCCAGTTGGTATTTAGCAAAATCATTCCAGTGGCAGCAGTACTATCGTACGACCGGACTTGTGCTTTTGCGATTTAAAACTCTGCATGGCACTGTTATGGGCAGAGTTGTCGCCAACCCTTAGCACGTGGCTTGTTTGTCACGAATAATTTCAGTTTTAAACATCAAAGTTCAAGCAAAATGAGTTTAGTTTAGCTAACTATAATTGTATGTAAGTCTGATACCCGCAAAAAAAACCTGCTACACTCGTAGGCATTACCGCGGCCATTTTCTAGAACAAGATATACAGAATGTTTTTTTTAATGGGACAGTATGGGGAAATCTGAAACCATAGAAGATACAAGAAAACTGTCTTAGGAACCATTAAGTCTTTTTTGTGAAAACAATTTTAACTTAGTCAATTTTTTAGTCAAACGTGAGTTGACCATAAAAATGAATAAAGTTGATCAAAATTGTTTAGTAGTGATTGAGACAGTTTTATGTAAGGATTCTTTCATTGTATGTGATGAGAAATATCAGGACAAAATGATTTCCATACAAAAAGATGAAATTGACTATTTTTTAATGTTTTCAAAGTTTCATACTTCCGTTTTTTATGATATCAAGTGACGAGATTAATTAGTTGTGCACCTGATGACAATCTTGTCACACTTGTCCATAACAGTTGCAGGGCCACTCAGAACTTTAAATTGTTAAGATCTGAGGGGCACTGCCACCGCACCAGTCACCCCGAAACACAAGCAGACAAGTCCCATGTGCCTGTATTTCCAGCCAGCACCCCTAACCCTTCAAAATCTGAACACAGTAATGCTCACATTACTGCTTGGCGGCAGGAATGGGTAAAGTACTTCCCTGGACGAACTCTTTCACAAGGAGCTCTACGTGAATATTTAGTAGTATGTTCAGTAATACCTCATTTCAACGATGATGAAAAACATCGTAGTGAAACTGCACGTCGAAGAAAGGTTCCTTAGAAAACGTGAGAAGGTACGACGACAAGGTACGAGGACACCTTGTTAGGCTACTGTGTTGGGCCCAACTCTCACCTTCGAGGAGCCTAGAGCCCAGCCGTGAGACGTGCAATAGGTTGATGATGATGATGTTTTATATTACTTCAAAAGATGGTTACGAAAAAAGGATCCAGATTTCGGAGATGATAGAACTATCCACCGCGTCCTCCTTCCAACACAAAATAGAACAACCGCTTTTAATTAGTATATAGAATTTGCAAAAATACAGAATTTTTTATAAGAATATAATGTTTCACACTCTGAATGTAATAAGACTAAAATTTCGAAAAAATGAAAGATAGTTATTAAAGATATATAATATTAGCTTTGTTATCTTGTCGTTAATTATTTATTTTGTAACAACCAGCAACTTCCATGAGACTTTTGTAACAGCGGATTCTTTAATACAGATTTACATAGCCTTTATACATTTATATTGATTCTACATCATCATCATCATCATCGTCATCAACCCTTTTATGCGTCCCACTGCTGGGCACGGGTCTTCTTTCAGACGAGGGTTTTTAGGCCTTAGTTCGCCACTCTGGCTCAATGCAGGTTAGGGACTTCAAACGTTTTCCGAGTGTTGTGAACCTTCTTCGACGTACAGGTTTCATCACGATGTTTTCCTTCACCGAAAAGCTCATGGTAAATTTCAAATTAAATTTCGCACATAAATTCCGAGAAACTCAGAGGTGCCAGCCCGGATTCGAACCCACGACCCTCTGCTTGAGAGGCAGTAGGTCAAACCATTAGGCTACCACGGATTCTACATATTATAGTTTAATTGCAAGTTCGTCGTATTCAATCTTTGAGGCGGCATCTACATATGACTTTAATATCTAAAGTTACAGTTGTGCATGTTTGTGAAAACATTGAAACTCTGCGTTGAAAAAGGTTCAGAACCCTTGGAAAATATATGAAGTTTTAAACCTGCATTGGGCCACTGGCGGAATATGGCTTACCCTTTGATAGTTATGCCGTGCACGAGCGGCGGTGTGAAACTTTTTTTAATACTTGCTACGTATGTACTTATGAGATTCTGTTCCAGATGAAGACCGCGACGATGACGATATGAGCTCTGGAGATGATAGAACTATGCCGCCGCGTGTCAGCGCTCCAGGAAGATACGCGATAGATTATGAATAATCATTTCTATTACATAAATAAAATCAACGTCTATTGGAAATGTCAACATAGTTCTAGTATTTATGTTACAACTTTTTAAGCCTTTTATTAACTTAATATGGTGCAATTTCAAACAACATATTGGAAATAATATTTAGACCTACCGATACTTCGAAGAAAGGTAACAAAACGTGAAAATGGACAACCTCGGTAGTCAAAGTCAAATAATCATTTATTCCTTAGGTAACATTTTTGCACTTGAAAACGTCATTTTTAAGCTACTGCTCGTTCACTACGCTGACCTCCCTGAGAAAAACGAGCAAGAAACTCTAGGGATTGCTATTTTCAAATAAACTTAAATGCTATGGAATACACTTTGAATCATAAATGTGTGGAATCTAGACTCTTGTTGTCTTTCCGTGCTTCTTTATCTAAAACATACTTTTCAATTTTGTAATATGACTTTTCAATTAAAATACTTTTAATGTAAGTTTTAAACTTAGGAAATGATAATCTTAATATATTCTCGGTAATCTTATTGTAAAAACGTATACAGTTCCCCATAAAACAATCGTTGACCTTAGTTAAACGAAATCGTGGTACCATGAGTTTGGACATAGTTCTAAGGTTAGTATTACAAATATCTTATTTAATTATTCTCTTAAATCTTATTTAATTTCTTAATGAAATTATGTATATTTTTACGGGCATACAAAATATTTAAGTAAATGAATTGCGATACCACAGCCACAAGGAAGATATATGTGGAAACCATTGAAGTTTACTATCTAAAGTCACTCCCAAAAGACAGCTTTATTAACAAAGTCTAACTTTTCTCCATTTATTTCTATGATTGGACTAGTCGATTTTACATTAGGTAATTCAAATTTAACAAACACACTTTGTCTTCTTGGCATTGAGCAATAAATTGTTAACATTAAACCAATAAATTACCTTTGAAAGGGTATCGTTAATAATATCATAGTTAATGTGAGACATCACATATCACAGACGGACATGTCTGTATTAAAAATCAAGGATGTATTGTCTGCAAACAATACTATGTCGCAAAGGTCCTTAACAAAGAATGGTAGATCATTAATATAAATGAGAAATAAGAACGGTTCAAGTATTAAGCCCTGCGGAACACCCATTTTTACCGGAGAACCCAAGGAAGTTACTCCATTTATGTCTACTTTCTGAATTCTTTCGTTAAAATATGACGAGACAAGTTCCAACACCATGCCGGTGGTTCTACAGTTTGCACGGGTTCGATTTTTAGTATCATTTCTAAATTCGTTCTGGTTTGGGTATTCTGGATATTATTACGTTGGTCTGATAGTCATAGTACAGAGAATTTCATAGTTTGTTTTAATTGGTGTAGGTACTCTGGCACTTTACTCCACTAGTTTGTTATAATACAAAGATCGAACACTCAGAAAAAATTCCTTCGATCCGGTCGGATTCGAACCGACGTCTTAATAATTATAACAAACTAGTGAAGTAATTTCACAAAAAATAATTGAATATCAATTCAATAAAAATTTAATTAATACAGTGAATAGCGACATCTCTCGTCAGGACTGGTAGCTGTAAAGATACTAACTGGGTGATAAATCTGTCATAGATTTCTCATAGATGGCGCTACGACTAAAAAGTCGTTGAAAGACCAAGTACAAAGACACGACGCAAGCACATAGAAGAATTCGTGAGGTCCGTTGGTTCGTTCCGTGGCTTAGTTGGTATAGCGTCTGGCACGGTATGCAAGAAGACGTCGGTTCGAATCCGACCGGATCGAAGGAATTGTTTCTGAGTGTTTTTTCTGAGTGTTCGATCTTTGTATTAATAATTAGAAAAAATTGTTGTTCCTGTAGTTTGGTCAAATTATAATGCGGTCTGTTTATTCAAAGTTCAGTTATTTGTTAAAAACTGTTCTTTTTTACGTCAACATAGCTATAAAATAAAAATATATATGAACCAAAGTATTTAAAAATTGTTATTTAAACGAAGAATTTTACGCCCTTTAAATTTGTTATTGGCAGTTGCCGTTAAATCCTCAAGCGTGCGGGTGTTGAGGCTCTTAGGGCACGATGCGAGGTCGGCAATCTCTTGGATAGCACCGGACAAACGAACCAGTTAGAACCATCGGAAATTCTAAACAAATTGTCCTTGCTTCGGCCAACCTGAAGTAACAGTAAAGCACCTTGTGAAAGAGTTCGTCCAGGGAAGTACTGCCATTACCTATTTCTGCCACTAAGCAGTAATGGGGTTTTTACTGCGTTCCGGTTTAGAAGGGTAAGGGTGCTGGTTGAATTTCAGACACGTGGGACTTTTCAACTTCTGTCTCAGGGTGACGGGCACAGTGGCAGTGCCCTTAACATCTTTGCGATTTAGAGCTCTGAATGTCACTGCAACTGTTATGGATCCAGGTGCACAACTTGTTCGTTCCGCTACTTGGCATTATGAAAAAAAACCTAAGTCCGAAGCGTATACAAAGACTTTCAGATCGACCGTGGCAATTCATGCACATGTCATGGCTGTCTCTCGTGCCAAATGTGGCACCATTCAATTTGTCCGTGTTTTCGATTGGTAACTCCGTATACTGAAAAAGTCCCCTTAGCGAGTTCGGTGTAGAAAAAGCGCCGACCGACAGCCGGCAGTCAATTTGTTATATCTACAAAGGCAGGTAACAAATAGAGAGGGGCCGAGTCCCGGGATCAAGCCTCGCTTATTCAATTAGCGGGATCCGGGACTGTGACGTCACGGGATTTGTTTGTTACATGCGTGGGACGTTGACATATTCCAATTGGCTTTTTATTGACATTTCTGTTTAGTTTTTCGTTCGCTATGTTGTTTTTTAAAACAAAATTCATTTACGTTATGATAATTATTTGATGTATGCCAGTATGGGTCAAAATGACTCTTTGAAGCCAAACAGATCTTCTTATTCCCACTTGAAGGTGTACCTATTATAATATACCCTTATTAACTGCAAGTACTATTCCCTTAAAAATCTTTACCAATCCCGTATCAGCTATTTCATAACTTTGTTACCGGGTGCACAGCGACAACGCAGACTGTAAAATCAATCACAGTTTGTTCTAGGATTTCAGTTCGTTAGTCCCGGTAATGAAATCCGATACGAAACGTGACCCGGGACGCAATTGATTCGTATTGTTCTTTATTTATGTGCTTTTTCGCAAAACCTAAGATATGTATTTATACTGAACCACTTGTAGATATGCAATGGAAAAAATGCTTGACAAAAATGTGGGTTTTGGAAATTTTGTTTTGGAAGTTTAGCCTTTATCGTCAGATATGTGGAACAGTGACAATAAAAAAATATAGGCGCGTCAGAAGCTGGATTCCGAATTTTCATACGTGGCTTTTGAATAAATGTCACTTCAATGTCGCGTCGCGGTTGTGTCACGTATATAACAACGTACTTGTATACATACCCTCTTGTGTGAATCAGTGCTTAAAATATCTTGCACTTCAACACATCTCGGAAAACGAACAAGGAATGTGGAGTAAAATAAAAGGAAATATTTCGAAAGAATTATGTTCTGCGAAACTTCACGAAGCAAGTTTATTCCGTACGTGTGATGGTTATATAAATTAAATTACTTTTCGTAGACATTTGGAAGAACGGCACAATTTGTGCTGAAATGTGAGTGCCAAAAAAACTGTAGCATGTTATATCGTTCAACTAAAAGTGTTTTCTCAAAGTTGAGGATATATATATATAACCTCACCATCAGGTTGTTGGCAAGACAATGCTCTTTTACATGTATTTACCTATATCTATTCTAGTTAATTCTTCATTAATTAAGTTGCATTAAATACTAGCTAATTTTCTAAAGTGTCTTGCTAAATTATACTAGGTATCTCTAATCATAATATTTATTTCACTAAAACATTACATCACTTAGCAATAATTTTTTAAATTCCTTTTCAACACTTTTTTGCTAACCTTCGTACTTTCACTGAGCCAGTCTGTTTTATTGTATATTTTTGGTATAATATATTTATCAGTTCTTTTTCCATAATTATCATTAACTTTACATTTATTTAATTTCCTTTCTCTAGCTCTTTTTGTGTTATACCTGTTATATACCAATAACTTATCCTCACTCTTATAACAATTTTCAATGGCTATCGTAAATTTTTCGTTTTTATCAGCTGGCAATATTTTACATTTCATAATCGTCTTTATATTTTTGTTTGGCGTTTTTATATACCAAAACTTTTATTAATATTAACTGATTTTTTTAAATATCCTGGACATATGCTTTGTAATTACGACCAAATGTACCTAAACCATAGCTAATCAACGAGTCAGCCAGTGCATAGTACACCACAAGCAACGTCCGCTTATTCAATATTCTAACTATTTCATAAAGTTTACTAATAATGAGTCTTAACTTAGTACAAATATAATTAATATGAGGTTTTCCAATTAAAATTTTGATCTATTTCCAACCCTAAGTACCTAAAATTGTTTACTAATTCAGTATTATCACAGATAATTCAATATTATTCCATTCAATATCATTATCCAGATTTAAGATTATGCAACCACTCATACGAATGACCTACTGTATTTAATACCCTCAGATCCACCGATTTTGCAACACGGTTATGTGGCGAGTGTATATGCATACATTTTGTTTTGGCAATGTTAATAATTGCCTCCGTGGCCGAACGGTTACCATGCCTGACTGCCACGCAGAGGCCCCAGGTTGGATTTGTTATTTGTATGGCCTACATTTATTTTTCTCGTCAGTTTGGGTGTTATTTGTGGTTGTCTATGTGTGTGTCCATAGCACCCGTGACACAGGGTTTCCCTAGTGCGAGGCCATGTTGAGTGTATGCGTTATTACATTATTATTTGTTATACTTTATAAATGAATATTTAAACCGTAATAAGAACATAATTTGACATTTTGAATTAATTGTATTACCCAAGGGCGGGCATTACGTCGCCCAACGTATTATCATAGCCATACAAAGGAGGAACGCAGCCAGCATCTTGGCACCTTGCCGCAAGAACCCAATTTTATTCATATAATTAAAAGTTTTATTGTATTTTTATATCTTACCCGCCTAAATAAATAAATGAATTTATTACAAATTTTTGAAAAATCTTTATTTAAAATTCAGGACTTGTTCAGACAGATCCAGGGAACATGCCAGTCCTAGGGCCAGTGCGGGGCTATGTTGAGTGTGTGCGTTATTATTATTAATTATCCCGTTATAATGTGCCCACTTAGTTACGTTTTCTAAATCATATTGGA